CCGTTTCACAGAGTCCAGAAAAGCTTAGGTATGTTCAGGATGACAGGCTAGTCTGGTTCCCTAGGGTGTGAAATATGTATAGAAGAAAAGTATAGGATAAGGGGAGAAAGATCATTTCAGATCAAGTCTTACAATGCCTTGAAGGCAAGGCTGAGAGTTTTGACTTTGTCATTTAAGCAATGGGGAGCCACTAAAGAACTGGTTTTTAACCAGGTCATGTCATGATTGAAGCTTACTAAAAGAAGGGGTCACAGTTATATGAGGAATTGTGTTTTATGCCTCAGTATCTCCCATAGCACCAACCATATATAGAGCTCTGGCTCATAGATGAGATGGGGTAATTTTTTTTTTTAATAAAGGATTAGAATTATGTCTCCTTCCCTCAAAATCATTAATAGGAAAGCTGCTATTTGGGATGAGTAGATGCATCATCTGCCAGAATATAGGAGGATGTCCTTGAAGAGACAGCCTGGGATGTTGGAAAGAGCAAAAGCCCAGGAGCCAGGAAACCAGGGTTCTGACCCCATATCATTTCTACTGCTGTACAATAATGACTGTCATGTTGTTTAGTCATTTTCAGTTGTGTCTGACTCTTTGTGACCCCCTTTGGGGAAAGATACTAGAGTGCTTTGCTATTTCCTTCTCCAGCTCATTTTACAGATGAGAAAACTGAGGCAAATAGGGTTGAGTGACTTGCCCAGGATCTCACACCTAGTAAATGGGTGAGGCCAGATTTTAATTCAGGAAGATGACCTTTGGCCTAAGTCACCCTACTCATTCCAGCCCCATCACTATTGGTGTCCTTCTTTGCCACCTGAGGACTGCCCAATTAGCAATATCAGGATCTGAGTCCTGTACCCCCTTACCACTCACCTATATCAATCAAAGGTTCTCCCTCCAGATGGGAACCATCCATGCACTGGTGGGGTTGATATGGTATGAGGATCTAACTTGACTAAGGACTGGGAAAAGAAGAGACTTGATCCCATTTTATCTTCTATAAAAGTTCTCTCATATGGCTAAATCTCTGGTAGCCCTCTCCATTTGAGGACAACTCACCCCAGTTGCCTGGTGTCCTTTCTTGAGTTCTTCCTGATCACAAGTATATGTTGAATAAACCTTGCCTTACCTGCTGCCCACTTCTGTGCTTCTGGCAACACTGGCCTGGAGACTGCCTCCTGAGGATGTCATGGGAGTTCCCTTAAATGTACTCAACCTCTGGCACTACATCAGGACAAACCCTTGTCCAACTTCCTGGTAGCCACACCTACTGCCCAAGTTTCATCTTAGTGATCATAGAAAACAATGGCTGACATTTCCCAGTTGATAAATGGTCAAAGGATATGAACAGGCAGTTTTCAAAGTAATTAAAACTATCCAGAGTCATATGAAAAAAAAAGCTCTAAATCACTATTGATTAGAGAAATGCAAATTAAAGCAAGTCTGAGGTACCACCTCACTTCTATCAGATTGGCTAATATGACAGAAAAGGAAAAATAACAAATGTTGGAGGGGAGGTGGGAAAATTGAGACACTGGTGTTGTGAACTGATTTACCCATTCGGTAGAACAATTTGGAACCATGCCCAAAGGGCTATAAAACCCTGCTTACCGTTTGACCTAGCAACACCACTGCCAGGTCTGTATCCCAAAGAGAGAAAAAACAAAAAGGATGAGGACCTATATGTATACAAATATATAACAGCTCTTTTAGTGGTAGCAAAGAATTGGAAATTGAGGGGATACCCATCAACTGGGGAATGACTGAACAAGTTGTGGTATGTGATTGTGATGGAATACTATTGTGCTATAAGAAATGACAAGCAGGCGCAGCTAGGTGGTGCAGTGGATAGAGCACCGGCCCTGGAGTCAGGAGGACCTGAGTTCAAATCCGGCCTCAGATCAAACACTTGACATGTGTGTGGCCCTGGGCAAGTCACTTAACCCCAAACGCCTAAAAAGTAGGAAAAAAAAAAAAAGGACAAGCAGGATGATTTCAGAAAAACCTGGAAGACTTATACAAACTGAAGCAAAGTGAAGTGAGCAGAACCAGGACAACATTGTACACAGTAACAGCAATATTGTACAATGATCAGCTGTGAATGACTCAGCCATTCTCAGCAATGCAATGATCCAATATAATTCTGAAAGACTTAACAATGAAAAATACTAGCTACCTCCAGAGAAAGAACTGATGGGGTCTGAATGCAGATCAAAGCATGCTTTTTTTAAACTTTATTTTTTCTCTTTTTTTTCTTGGTCTATGTTTTCTTTTATAACATGACTAATATGGAAATATGTTTTGCATGACTGCACATGTATAACCTATATCAAATTGCTTACCTTTTCAATGAGGGGGAAAGGAAAGAGAGAGAATTTGGAATTCAAAAAGTTTTTTAAATGAATGTTAAAATAGTTTTTTTATGTGTAATTGGAGAGGAAAAATAAATAATGATAATAAGCAGAAAGCAATGGCTTTCCATTCCCAAGCATGGATCCCATGTCCCAAGGGGGAGAGAATCCCCATTTCTCTAACCCCTAACTGGACTAGTAGTAGAGACAGCTTGGCCTGAACTCTCATATCCTTTGGTTCCTCTTCTCTCTTACTTCATTAGCAGAGCCAGTAGGAGCAGGACCATGAATGAGCAAGACACAATTGCTCCAGGTCTCCATTTGTTTCACCATCTAGCAAATGAAGAACTGGAATTGATTTTTTTCCAGCTTTGAAAGACAGCTTCATGCTGGCCTTGGAGTGGGTTGAAATCCTATCTCTGGCACTGTATGGCCATGAGTAAGTCAGTAAATAAACATTTGTTGTTCTTCAGTCATTTTCACTTATGTCCGACTCTTCATGACCTGGTTTGAAGTTTTCTTGTAAAAGATATGGGAGTGGTTTGCCATTTCCTTCTCCAGCTCTTTTTGTAGATGGGGAAACTGAGGCAAACAGGGTTAAGTGATTTGCCCAGGGTCACACATCTAGTGTGTGTCTGAGGTCAGGTTGGAACTCAGGAAGATGAGTCCAAGCTGGGCACTCTATCCACTGTACCACTGAGCTGCCCTAAATAAATATATTAAGTGCCTGATATGTGCCAGAGACCATAGTAAGTGCTGAAAATACAAAGAAAGGTAAAAGTCTCTGCTCTTTTGGAACTCACAATCTAATGGGATAACAATATGCAAATAACTTCAAACAAGTAGTACACTGTATGAATTGGAAACAATCAACAGACAAAAGGCACTAGAGTTAAGGGGAATCAAGAACGGCTTCCTATAGAAAGTGGGATTTTGGTTGGGACTTAAAGGAAGCTAGAGAAGCCAGGAGGCAGAGATGAGGAAGGTAATGAGAGGCATGAGAGATAGCCAGAGAAAATGCCCAGTCAGGAGATAGAATGTCTTATTTTAGGAACAGCAAGGAGGCCAGTGTCACTGGATTGAAGAATACCCAGTGGGGAGGCACTGTAAGGTTTAAGGAGCCTGGAAAGGTAGGGGTGGGACAGGTTACAAAGGGCTTCGCAGGTCAAATAGAGGATTTTATATTTGATCCTGGAGGTGATAGGGAGCCACTGAGGGGTGATGGTGGTGGTGTGTGACATGATCAGACATGGGCTTAGTGAAGATCACTGTGACAGCTGAGTTAAGATGGATGAAAATGGGGAGATACCCACAGCAGACAGACCAACCAGCAGGCTATTATAAAAGTCCAGGTGTGAGATGATGAGAACCCATGTTAGATGTCAGGGCAGTGTCAGAGGAGAGGAGGGGGTATATGCAAGAGATATTACAAAGACAAAATCAATGGACCTTCGCAATAGATTGTACATGGAATTTTGGGGGTGGTGGTGAGAGTGAAGAGTTGAGTAGTCAAGAATGACAGCCAGGGCTAGACAAGTAGATTTGAGAATCATTAACATAGAAATGATCACTCAATCCATGGGAGCTGACAAGATTACCAAGTAAAATAATACAGAGGGAGAAAAGAGCACAGGATGGAGTCTTGTGAAACACCCACAAGGGTCACCTGGATGAAGATCCAGCAAAGGAGACCAAGAAGGAAGTCAGAAAGAAGGAGATCCAGGACAGAGCAGTGTCACAAAAACTAAGAGAGAAGAGAGCAATATCAGAGGTTTCAGAGAGATCAAGAAGGATAAGGATTGAGAAAATGTCATCAGATCTGGCAATCAAGAGACTGCTAGCAACCCAAGGTTGGGGAGAGTCATCTTGGTCAAATGTGAGCTCAGAAACCAGACCACAGAAAGTTAGGAAGAGAGCAAGAAAAAAGTGGAGGCCCTATTGCGGACAGCCCTTTCCAGGAGTGCATCACAATAGTCAGGAAAGATAGGATATGACAGCCAGCAGGAATAGAAGGATCAAATGAGGATCCCCTGATAATGGGGGAGACATGGGCATGCCTAGCAGTCAGTAGAGAAGCAGATAGTAGACAAGGAGTGACTGAAGACAAGTGAAAGGGTAGGGATGACAGAGGAAGTAGTCTCCTGGAATGGAACAGGAAGTCAATCCACATCTGTAAAATAGAAATAACCACATCCACAGTACCTGCCTCACAGGGCTGTTGCGAGACTCCAATAAGATAATGTACTAAAAGCACTTTGCAAAATTATAAAAAAAAAAAGACCTGTATAAATATTAGTAGTGGGTTGATTGAAAAACTCATCAAATTAATCAGGGACCCAATTATCTTCACCCTCTTATCGAAAGAGCCCTGGATTCTGAGTCAGACGATTTGAACAAAACTATTCTTGGCTTTCTCACTGGCCTCTTGTGATACTGGGGAGTCCCTTCCCCACTCCTGGGCTTCAGTTTCCCCATTTGTAAAAATGAAGTGGATCTCGAAGATTCCTTTGAGCTCCGGATCCTGGAAACAATATATTACCGAAAGTCCCTTGCAAGCCCTGGCACCCTGTGGCTGACCTTCTGCGGTCACGGAGGGCCCTGGATTCAATGATGCTCTCCCAGGATGAAGGAGCCTGGGTACCAGACTAGCTCAGGAGGTCGTGGCCGTGGCTGCCGTCCTCCTTCAGGGCAGGAGGGGGCGCTGCCGCGCTCCTCAGACTCAGGGCGGCTCCTCGCAGTGTGACAGTGCCAAGCCTTCGGATTTTTAGCTGTCTTCGTCACTGCCTGACAGCAAGCCTCACGCCCTGCGGCCCTCGCTTGTCCTGCCAAGCTGTTCAGGGAGGCAGGCGTCTGGGCTGACGAGTGATTTGGCGTAGGGCGGCGGCCACGGCTGCCGCAGAGGGGTGAGGTAATTCGGTGTCGGGGACAGGCGTGGGCTCGGCCACCCCGCCGGCGCGGGGTCCTCGGCGGGCCCGGGGGAAGGCCCTCTTTGTGGCTGCAGTTGGCAAGATGGCGCCGGTGGGGGTGGAGAAGAAGCTGCTGCTGGGGCCTGAGGGGACCGGGGCCCCGGGCGCCGGGGACTTGCCCAGCGAGGAGGACGAAGGGCAGAACCTGTGGTGAGTGGAGGACCGACGGGCTGGGTGAGGAGGGGCCGAGGGCGGCCCGGGCTCCGGGGCCGGGCCGGGCCGGGCGGGGCGGGGCCGCTGGACCGGGCGGGACGGCAGGGATGGTGGGGCAGCCTCCGCCCGCCTCCCTCCCTCCCGGCTCCGCGCGGAGGGACCCCCTTCTTATCCTCCTCTTCGTTCTCCCCTCTCTCCTCTCCTTTTCTCTCTCTTGGAGGCAGCAAGACCAGAGGTCAGATCCGAGCTGACATTTCTAGTTGTGTGACCCTGGGCAAGTCGCTTCGCCTCTGCCGGCCTCACTTTTCCTTCTCTGTAAAAGGGAGGTTATAACAACACCTCCCTCCCAGAGCTGGTGCTGTGAGGACCGAAGTAACGCGTCTGGGGAGAGCTTTGCCAGCCTCTAAGCGTTACGTAAACACTAGCCGTGCTTATCCTTCTGCTCCCCAGCCTCGCTTTTGCCTGTGTACCCCTTCCCTCGGCTCCCGAGGCCAGCATCTCCGCCGCCGGGTCTGGACTTTGTGATGATTCACAGACCGCTGGCGTGCTGTTATCCCCAGGACGATGTCGGTGTGGGGAGAGGGGCTCCTCCCCCTCGGCCCCCCGCGCCCAGCATCCGGGGCCCGGGGAGCCTTGGGGGTCAGCGCCCGGTTGACGGCTGTGCTCTGACCCCGCAGGTCGTCCATCCTGAGCGAAGTCTCCACCCGCTCCAGGTCCAAGTTACCGGCAGGCAAAAACATCCTGGTGTTTGGTGAGTGGCTCCCCACCTGGAGCAGGGTGGGGAAGGTGTGACACCCAACCCCGGGCTGGGCCAGGAGGCGGCTGTTCCTGAGACGTTGCTGGGAGCTGGGGAAGAGCTTGGGAGTGGGGTTTTGCAGAAAAGGAAGTGCTAAGTACCCACTGGGCTTTTGTGGTATTTCCCTAAGTAGACTTTGGAACTTCCTTGTTTCAACTAATGTAATGTGGGTAGATTTAAAACTGACCATATTTTTTTCTTCCCTGATTCTTCCAGGTTATGTTTTTGTTGTTGTTGTTGTTTTAAATACTCTCTGACCTTCTGGTTGGATAGAATTATTCCATTACAGTGGCAAAGGTCACTAAAGTAGGTGGAAAGGAAGAATAACAAAATAAGTCAGTTCCATCCCTCAAGCATTTTTAAGTACCTGCTGTGTTCCAGGCACTGGGAGTACCAAGAAAGGCAAAAAAAAAAAAAAAAAATCCCCTGCTCCTAAGGAGTTCATTCTTAATGGGAGAGACAACATGGAAACAACTATGTGCAAACCGGATATATACAGGATAAATTGGAGATGATTATAGAGTCTGCTTGAGACTTGTAGTTTTGCTTAGCTCTATAATTATTTTCATTAGTTTCCCAGCCTTCACTGTGCTGGTGAAGAAGATACACTGATGTTGAAAGCAAATGTTGGTATCTATCCTGCCACAGACTGAATTTTCTCTTAATGGTTATTGGCTGTCGCAGTCAGACCTTATTGTTTAAACACCGAAGGTTTAAGGTTGTCATTTTAGACCTATTATGTCTCAGAACTCTGTTTTCTTTGTAATAGTCCATCTTAACATATTTGCTAGTAAGCGATTGACCCCAGCTTATTCTTTGACTTTTTCATTTACTTTTTTGGGTGAATTGTAGGTAGAGCCAAATTCATTTATTTTTTCACATGAAAGAATGGGTTATAACTTTGGTTATTATTACGAAGAACTAGGTGTACCTTGGATAGGTGAGGGCAGTGTGAAGTAAAGAAAAAAGCATTGATTTGGAAATCAGAAAGCCTAGATTTTAAACTCCTTTCTACCATTCTGGCTAGGTAGTGTGTAACATTATGTGACAAGTCATGTTCTTGAGCCTGGGTTTTCTTTTCTGCAAAAGTAAGGGGCTGGATCCATTGATCTTTGATGTTCCAGGTTTAAAAATCTCAAGTCTAAAATACTTAAAATAGAATTGTGATCTCATTGGTTTGGATGTTCCCTTCAACAGAGCAGATTGTAGCCCGTCTATGTCTGCCCATCCTGTGAGACAGTCTTGTCCGTGTCTTTCCTTAAGTTCACCATAGATTGAAGGGGTTTACCCATTGTGCTGAGAGGCCTTCATCTTTCCTCACGTGAAGATGTTGGTGGAGTATATGAACTGTCCATTAGATCATGCCTCTTTCCAGGTGACCCTCTTATGTTTTATGATTATACAGTTCTTTGATGATATCCTTTATTCCAGTTTTTTAAATAATTCCTTATTTGTCATGTTTCTGCCATGTCTAAATCATGTCCTGCCAAAACATAACTATTAAAGTTTGTTAACTAAGTTTGAGTCCTGTCCTGTGCTGTGAAATCAACTTTTTAAAGGGTTTCTGTTACGTGTCAGGATATATGTATAAATGTGGAAGTTATACCTATTTCTTTCAGAATATCAGCATAGTTTCTGTGTACTGAGTAATTACATTCTTATGTTTTTCTTCTAAATATTCTTTTTAGGTGAAGATGGTTCAGGTAAAACAACACTCTTGGCTAAATTACAAGGAGCAGAGCACAGCAAAAAAGGAAGAGGTTTAGAATATCTATACCTTAACATTCATGACGAAGATAGAGATGGTAAGTTGTTCCAACCCATCACGAATAAAGCATTTTTTAGGTGCTTAATATGTGCCAATGCAAGCACTGTTCTAAGTACTGGGAATACAAATAGAAAAAATAAGAGTCTCCGTTTTCAAGGAGCTCACACTCTAATTGTAGGAAAATAGGCTAGGGACTGGACCAGTCATTGCATTGGTATAGGAAACTTTTACCATGAAAAAACTTTTCTAGTACAGATTGGCACGTTTTAGAGAGTCCCCTTGAACAGAAGTGTCAAACATGCAGCCCACAACACCCCTCCCTTAGTGCAGCCATATTACATGTAACTGGATTGAAATGTAATTGGAAATATTCAACAAAATAAAATGAAACATAGATCATGTTCCTTTCTAAGTCTGTGTGTATCTCCTAGGGTGCCTTATCATGGTTAAGTGGCCCCCATTTCTATTTGAGAGCAACACTTCTGGCCTAGACCACTGACAGGATCACATGGTCACAGTGTGTGGTGGCAGGGCTTGAACCCAGGTCTTCCACCAGACACAGGTTATCCACACAACACCTTTCAGGAGAGAAGAGTTAAAGTGCAGATGAAAAGAGTCCTAAGGGTTTAAGAGTGAGACAGATGGCAAGGCCCAGGGATAGGTCAGATGACAGTGCCTAGAAGGGCATAGAAGTGGGAGAGATAGTAAGGCCTGGTGGTCCCCCATCTCACCAGAAGGATTGGAGTTGATGACTCCCAGCTTATTTAAGCAGTATGAGCAGCCACCCCTCTGGGGCCTGGATCCCACATTGCCGTAGGAGCATATGAAAAGAGATCACTTCCACTTTGCAGAACCACGACAGGATGCCTACAGAATGTAGCATTGAGCTGGGCCTTGAATTCTAGGTAGAAATTCAACAGGCAAAATTTAATTGGGGAACAAAGGGCTCTTCCAGGTGTGGTAAATAATAAGAGCAAGTGTGTAAAGCTGGGAAAGTCTGAGACATTTTGGTTGCGATATAGAATGTGTGAGAGGGAGAATTTACACATGAAAATGTGTTGGGTTTTTTTTTTTTTGTATTAAATAGTGCCCCTTCTATCCTTTGAAAAAATATTATAGAAAACAGAAAATACATCTACTCCTGTGTTTGCAGACTTTGATTTAATAGTAGAAATTAAAGCTTAACTTAAGTTCAGATATAGATAGAATCTTTTTAGGAGCCTGCCTTGATATCTTGGTCTGGTAGCCTGCTATTTTCCCGTGAAGAACTCCTGAAATGATATATTAGAAGTTTGGATTTTTTTAAACATTTTTCAGCATTCCTTTTTAGCACTAATTTATTGGATTGCTGGTAGGAGATGTATCTCCTACAGATTGCTGGTATCTATGTGCTGCTGTTACACCATTTTAAATTCTGTAGTTCTAGGGTTAACTGAAGTTTATTCATGAAATCCATTGCCTGCTTTTGTGTCTGCTATGGCTTGGAGTTTTGGCTTTTAAATAAAGAAATGTTACCATCTTCAGGTTTTGTTTTTGTTTTTGTTTTTGTTTTTGTTTTTTTGTAAGAAGGTTCATCTGAATGTAAAGGTTACAATAAAAATGAAATACTTTTCTTTAAATTGGGTTATGTTGACAAAAAATAATAAAATCTTGCCCAGGACCATTTAAAATTCTAGGAAGGTTGATATGAAATGAAATAGAACACATTTGGCACATCACCTTACTTCTTTAGACCTCAGTTCCCTCATTTGTAAAATGAAGGAGATTGGCCTCATCGGTCTCTTAAGTTAGATATTAAGATATTAAGTGGTTAGTCCAAGGTTAAACAGCCAGCTCAGTGATGCAGTGCACAGAGCGCTGGCCTGGAGTCAGGGAGATTTCTCTTCCTAAGTTCCAGTTGGATCTCAGACACTTACTAGCTGGGTGACCCTGGGGAAGTCACTTAACCCTTTCTGCCTCAGTTTCCTCATCTGTAAAAGGAGCTGGAGAAGGACGTGGCAAACCACTCCAGTATCTTTGCCAAGAAAACGCCAGATGGGATCACAAAGAGTCAGACATGCCTGAAACAACGAACTACAACAAACAGCCATTATTACCTCAGCGGCTGGACTCGAATCCAGGTCTTCTTGGTTCCCAGTTCTCTCTCCATTATATCATGCTCCCTTTACTTTTTAATATATTTTTTAAAATCAGTGTTTAAACTTGTAACTCTCACCTTTTGAATTTTCTAGCTTCAGCATGATTTATATCTCCCTTTTGAGCTCATAAATTGCAATGTTGGGGGTGGTTACCTTGGCTTCAGTGCTAAAGTCCTTCCAAACCCTCCTTTCCTGCAAGACTCAAGAACAGATTTGTTTGCCCACTCTTAGAGTCCCTTCAGGTAATATGAAGAACATCTACATTTCAGCCACAGATGACATAGGGCGGCCTTTGAACAAATGAAAACTTTGTCCTTTGCTTTTTGTTTCCTAAATTTTTTTCTTATTTCTCAAATACATAGTGTGGATACAGTCTTCATTGTGGAGTAGTCAAAAGTTCATTTCGTGCCAAAGCATTTTTATGTCCTTATACCATTAATAATGTTTATGCTTATAGGACTTTATGACTGCAGAGGGCTTTTACATGGCTTGCCTCATTTGATTCTCATGACTACAATCCTGTGAGGGAGGTTTTATTTCCATTTTACAGAGAGGTTAGGTGACCTACTCTGGGTCACACAGCAAGTTAGTGAGGACTGGAATCCAGTCTACTTACCAGTGTCTTTTCTGTGCACCCTACTTCCTCTAAGTAGAAGTAGAGTAATAACTCCTCATTCAGATTTCTTTGAGGTTACCGTAATAGCTAATTTTGTAGGCAGCCTGGTATAATATATATTTATATATATATATAATTTGGGGCTTAGAACCAGGAAGCTTGGGTTTGGTTTGCTTACTAGCTGTTTGCCTTTGGGCAGTTTTTTCCTTCCTTGAGCTTTGTTTTCCTCATCTGTTAAAATGGAGATAATACTTTCACTACCTACCATGTAAGATGTTGTAAGAAAAGACTTTTTTAAAAAAAAAAGTATTAGCCATTGTAAATGTGAGTTATAATAAATGTTTAATATAGATATTTTGAGGTATATAATTAGATGTCATTTTGTCTTTACTTGAAGCACTATTCTGACTAGAAGCAAATAAATCTCATTTCTCTTTAACTCTAACCTTTTTTGCTTTAGTGATGTAGGCATATAATGAAATGGTTTTGATTTAAAATATATGCATTTGAAGGTGATTGTAATGTGATAAGAAGTGTTAGTCTCCAAAAAATAACTCCCCCCCCAAAAAAACAAAAACAAAACCCCTGCCAAATTTGGAAAGATTGTCACCAGAGGCATTTCTTGGGCTACTCATTTGGGGATGTGTGAACTAAGAGCTGATTATTTAATTTAATTTAATTTACAGAACATTTGATAAATACCTTCTCTCTGCCTGGCCCTGTGTCAGTCACTGGACATATAAAGGCAAAAATGAAATGGTCCCCTTTCCCAAAGAACTTTTTTTTTTTTTTTTTTGACAGTTGGGGTTAAGTGACTTGCCCAGGGTCACACAGCTAGTAAGTGTCAAGTGTTTGGTCTGAGGGCAGACTTGAACTCAGGTCCTCCTGACTTAAGGGCCAGTGCTCTATCCACTGCGCCACCTAGCTGCCCTAAGAACTTAAGTTTTACTGAAGGTAAACAACATGTCCAACAAAAAGTAAATAACAGATAAATACAAAATAATGTGAGGTGAAGAAAGGGGTATGGATACCACAATTATGGCAGAAGGAAGGGGGGACATCAGGAGAGACCTTGAGCAGACACAGGTGATGCTTGAGCTGGGCCCTGAAGGGGCCTACTGTGAAGAGGGAGAGCAAGGCCACAGGGCCTGACAGAGACACAGGAAATAAGCCATGGATTTGTCCACCAGGCCTGATGATTGCCATTAGTAATAATAACAGTAATAATAGTGGCTGGCATTTCTAATGTAAGATTTGCAAATTGGAAATGCTGGGATGTGTGTGGGGACAGGGGTGGAACGAGGGTGCCCATTTCCATTTAGAAAACATTAAGTGCCCACTTTGTGCAAAATACTGAAGATACAATGACAAAAAGAGGCTCCTGTCCTTAGGAAGCTTCTGTTTCAGGGGAAGAGGATGCATTCTATGCATCCTGATGCTTCATGCCAAAGAATTCCTTACCTTCTCTGTACCTTAGCTGATTCATCCAAAAAGCGGGTAAGAAGCCCCAGAGTTGAGGTGGGGGTCAAATAAAATGTTATGTGAAAAACACTTTCTAAAATAGCCCATAATTATGAGGTTTTTTAAAAAAGATGTTAATGTAGGAGTCTTAAATTTCAGTTTTATTTAATGAAAATGGCACTGTTGGCAAATAGTAGCATATCAATTTCTTGTTGCTTACTGGCAATGAAAGACTAAATCTTAGTTTCTTCGTCTGTAAAATGGACCTACCTCTAGTAATTGCCTAATAGGACTTTTATGAAGGTCAAGTAATGTATGAAATTGTATAACCTTAATATATCAGGATTTGTCATCTCATTCCTCAAATTCTACCTTTTAAATTTGAAAAAAAAAATGCGGCCTTCATTTTTTTCTTGATGTCTTTTGTTTTTACATCACATTTATTTCCAAATACAGCCTTCCCTTGTAACAAAACTTTGATTTCCAATAAAAGTAGCAAAGGGCTTAGTATTTTTTTTGTAAGTTGTACACACTTCAGGTTGCTTTGAGAATATTTATAAATATCCTCTCATCACTTCTTTTAAGGGATAAAGCAATTTATATGCACATGATTCTTGGTTACATTTTCCTTTGAAAATAAAGCATTTCTAGTTATAGGTTTTTTTTTTTATTTTGACTTTGACATTAAAGATCTACTGATACTTTTCTAGGATGCAGTTGCAGTGGCAGCAAACTTGAGTTTTGAATGGTTACATTTTTTTCTCTTCTCCACAGATCAGACACGTTGCAATGTGTGGATCCTGGATGGAGATTTGTACCATAAAGGCCTGTTGAAGTTTGCTGTTTCAGCAGAAACCCTGCAAGAGACTTTAGTCATCTTTGTAGCAGATATGTCTAGGCCTTGGACTGTTATGGAATCGTTACAGAAATGGGCCAGTGTTTTGCGAGAACACATTGATAAAATGAAAATCCCACCAGAAGAAATGAGAGACATGGAGCAAAAGTGTAAGTACAATACATTTTTCTGCATGACAGTGTAATTATGGGCCTGTTTTCATGGTAGATCCTTTGAATGGCACCTGCCCCCCTCATTTTAGTAGGTGGATAATGTTTTGGACATTCATGAATCCTCTCTTTGAAGAAGTAAGCACATAGAAGGTACTTAATAAAGTTTGTTGAATGAATGATTGCATTGAAGATGCTCTTTGAGAGTTCAGCCCTTTTCAGCTTAGGGTCTCAGAACATTTTCAAGGTTCTCCTCATATCCCCAGTTGGTTTCTCTGTATGAAGTGAGTTTGATTGATATTTACTTTCCCCGTTGACCAGAAGATTAAGGTCATTTTATTGTGTGTGTGGTTTTCAAAGGGAAGGATGTACAATAAGGCTTTCCTTATTTAAACATGATCTGATCTGTGGGTCTTTTTTGTTGTTTTCATGTGTGGCCTCAGAGCTCTTTAGCGGGCCCCAGTTTGTTGTGGGAACAGCTCTGGTTTTGCAGTTAGGAAACTGGGGTCCAAGTCTCGACTCTAACACATAATAGCTTTATGGGATAGTCACTTCCCCTTGAGGAGCTGTATTTCCTCTCCTGTAAAGTAGGGATGATCTCCAGGCAAAGTGATTGCTAAGGTCCCATTTAGTTCTGACAGTTTTTGAGTCTGTGGGTTCTAATGTGGTCTATATAGCCTGAAGCTCCCTCTAGGAGTTACATTATTTGGCAGGAGAAAGCTAGTTTCCTTCGTTAACCTGTAGGAGAACAAATAAAAATTAAAAGCATAATTCTGTCAGAGAATTCAGACATAAGCCAGTGCTAGAGTAGTTTGTTTCTGAATTCAAGTGCTTAAATTAAAAATTAGAGCATTTAAAAGTCCATTTTCTATTGTTAAATGGTAGGCTGTATTGTGTTTATTAAAATAAGAGTTCTTTTAAAATAAAGGACTTGATTTTCAAATTTGAAGGAAGTTTGGGAGGGGAGGGATTGTTTTTTGTTTTAAAATATATGTGGTTCAGAAGATTGTTTTTCCTCTCCCTTGCTTCTGTGCAGTTACATGAGCATCTGACCACTTGCCAGAAGAGTAGGAGTGGCCGCGGCAGCAGCAACAGTCTTTGACAAGGGTTGGCTCTGCTCAAACTGGCTTATTTCCACAGTATGACATCACTCCAGTGAATTAATGAGGGCCCTTTTGGGCGTGGTATACAGTATCCTCACATTGCTAACTCGTGCATTATAACCGACACTCAGAATGATGGTTCCTGAATATTAGGTTTGCTTTTCAAATCAAATTCCACATTCCATGTCTTCCTGTCACGCTCTTCATTTTGCCTGTGCCTTCTGTCACATGTCAGTTCAAGTGTCCCACAGACACTGGGAGCTTTATAGTTGATCCTTTCAACCTGTCTTTTGTAAATTTTCTCAGCTGTATTTGCTGCATGATTGCTATGCAGTTCAGCTAGCCAGTATCAAACGACTGACCTTTACAAATAATGAGGGTTTTTTCCCCAGGATTAGGCCACACTAAAGCAAACTACTTCTGAACATGGGGCAATTTTGTAACCAATACACAGATAGTATGGTATGTAGAGAAGTAGATTGATTGTGATAAATTGACTATTATGAGCTCATTTTTATAGTGTGATAACATTTCAAAGATGTTTCATTTTTGGTTTTGTTTTATTTTGTTTTGTTTTTTTAAAACAACTTAAATCAAGCTTGGAGGCAGCAAGATCCCCAGAGTAAGAATTAGGAGACCTGGGTTTGCTTTGCCACTTACATGTGACCTTGGGCATGCTACTTTTCCTCCCCACCCTCCTGGGCCTCATTCTCTTTCTCTGCAAAATAACGGGATCAGACTAGGTGATTTTTAAGGTCCTTTCCAGCTCTGATGTGCTATATCTATGTGCAAAATGTTTATAATGTTGGGGGTTTTTGGTCCTGTCCAGTGCTGTAAATTTATTCTAATTCTGGTTAATCTTTGTTCTCATCCCTACCTCCAATGTATCAGACATTTGGGATGACAGTTTTTTTTGCCTTGTGTGCTAAAAGTGTCTGTTAGTCTTAAGTTGCATGTTAATAATGTGGTTAGGCTAAAGAAGACCTGAGAGTCACCTGAACAGCCTGGAACAAGTAACTTAACCTCTCTGAGTCTCAGTTCCTTCAACTTTAAAATGAAAAGTTTGAATTAGATGTTTTCCCAGGACACGCTTTAATTCTGTCAGCTGGCTGTTTTCATCTCGATAGTGACATTCTTCCAGATGTTGAATTATCCTGTAGTGTCTTCATTACTCATCCTTGTGCTTTTCTATTTTTAAAGGAAAAGTGATTGAAAGATAGTATTTACATTAAAGAACTCTTTCCTTCTCAGCTGTATATTTTGGGTGGTCCCTTGCTTAAACCAGAGCAGGAGAACTAGGCAGAACCTTTTGAAATGTTTTGGAACATTTACCTATTAACTCTACTTGAAACCTAAAAGTGACCTAAAGCCATAATATATGGCAGGGCAACCAAGGGCTTAACTTGGAACCTCTGAGACTTGTATAGTTGACATACCTTTAAAATGGAAATGATAATAATGTGAAGACATATGGATTTCTATCTCCCAAGGAACCAGATTACATGGAGATCATACAAGTGTATAAAAAATACTGTTTAATATATTATAGACTATAGGCACTTTTCAGAGTGCAATGGAAAAAAAGTTGAGAACAAGTTTTATGGAAGAGGTGGAATTCAAGCTAGGCCTTAAAGAATAGAGATAATTTTGAATAGTCCTCAGCAGCATTTATTAAATGCCTATAGTGTACCAGACATTTTGTTAAGTGCTGGGAATACCAAAAAAAAAAAAAAACCAACAAAAAACAAAAGTAGGTCCTTCTCTCAGAGCTCCCAATCTAATGAAGGAGACAACATGTAAACAACTGTGTAAAAATACGATATATAGAGGATAAATTGGAGAGAATAAAGAGAGGGAAAGCACTCGCATTAAGGGGCCAGAGAATGGGGAGCAGGGTTGGAGGTGGAGGTGAGGTTGTAAAGAGGTGGTTTTTTAGCTAGGACTTGAAGCCACAGAAACTGGGAGGTAGAGAGGAGGAGAGAGAGATTTCCAGGCATGGAGAACCCCCAGTGAAAAGAACATCCAGAGTTGGGAGATGTGAGGTCTTGTTTGAGGAACAGCAAGGAGGCTAGTGGCACTGGGTCAGAGTACCTGGGGCTGTGTAAGGTCTGAGAAAAATGGAAAGGTTATGAAGGGCTTCATATACCAAACAAGATTTTATATTTGGGGCTACAGGTGGTAAGAAGCCACTGGAATTTATTGGCGGAGGGAAGTGGGGTAGGGGGGAGAGGCAACATGGCCAAGCCTGCACTTTAGGAAGATCCCTTGGGCAGATAGACTGGAGTAGGAAGACACTTAAGACAGAGGGACCAACCCCAGGCTATGCAGTAGCCCAGGCATCAGGTAATAACAGTCTTCCACAGTGCGGAGGGCAGTGTATGCCAGAGATGTCACAAAAGTGAAATCCGACCTGTTGGATATGGGGGAATGAAAGGAAGTGAGGAGTCAAGGGTGACACTGAGGTTTGGAGCCTGAGTGGAAGTATAGTGGTACCCTCAACCAGTAACAAGGAAATCAGGAAAACAGGAGGGCTGGGGAGAAAGTTTGAGCTCAGTTTCAGACTTGCTGAGTTTAAGGGGTCTACAGGACATCCAATGTAAGATGTCCAGTGTGCAATTAGGGATACCGGACTGGAGGTCAGGGGAGAGGTTAGGACTGGGTAAATAGATCTGAGAACCATTAGCATGGAGATGATAGTTGAATCCATGGGAACCAATGAAATCACCAAGTGGAATAGTCTAGAGGGACCTGAGAAGAGGGCTCAGGACAGGGCTTTGAGGCATGCCCTCTGTAGGCAGGTGCAACTTGGACTGAGGTCTATCAAAGGAGATTTAAGGAGCAGCCCAAGATAGGTAGAAAGAAGGAAGGAAACCAAGCGTTTATTAAGTGTCCACTGTGTGCCAGGCACTATGTTAAGTGCTTTACAAATGTCTCATTTGATCCTCACAACCACCTTGGGAGGTAGGTACTGTTATTATCCCCATTTTACGGTTGAGGAAACTGATCAGATATATTAAGTGACTTGTCCAGAGTTACACACAGAGAGAGAGGGGGGGGGGGGGGGGGGGAGGGGGGGGGGGGGGGGGCACCTTTGAACTCAGGTCTTCCTGACTCCAGACCCAGCTTCACTGTGCTTCCTAGTCGCTTAGAGAACCTGGAAATGTCATGAAAACCTAGAGAGGAGTGTGATTGATAATGTTAGAGGCTGCAGAGAGGTTGAGGAGAATGAAGATAAAGAAAAGGCCATTGAATTTGGCAACTAAGAGTTTATTGGAAATTTTGGAGAGAGCAGTTTCAGTCGGATGATGAGGGCAGAAGCCAGACTATAGAGAATTAAGAATGAGGTGACAGGCAGCAAAGGTGTGGATTGTAGACATGAACTGTAGGCAGCCTTCCCAAAGAGTTTAACATCAAAAGACAGGAGAGATATGGAATGATAGGTAGTGGGGCTGAATGGATCAGTAAGGGGTTTTTTTTTTTAAGGTGGAGTAAACATACACTTGTTTGGAGACAAGTTAACAAGCAGCTAAGTGCTTTCTGTGTGCCTTGCTCTGTGCTCAACACTAGAGATACAAAGAAAGGCAAAAATAGACCTTTCCTCCAAGGAGTTCACAGTCTAATGGGAGATAACATGCCAATAATTATGTACAAGTAAGATGTATTTAGGATAAATTTGAGATAGTAAACAGAGGTGGTTTTTTAGCTAGGACTTGAAGCCACAGAAACTGGGAGGTAGACAAGTTAACAAGAGATTGAATAGGCAGAAAGAAGAGGAAAATATTCATAGAATCTTAGAATTTCAGAACTAGAAAGGACTTGAAGAGGTCACAGTTCAACCCCAAATTTTATAGATGAAAAATTTGAGACCCAGCATAGCCAGTTGGACAAGTTCATGGAGCAGGACGATGGAGGAGCCGTGTTATACAAAAATGTAATCTGCCAAAGTGCCTTTGTGAGGATTTTTATGATCAGTGAGTTTTAGTAATTTAGCATTTGGGGGTGTTTGGTGAGTTACATGCCCAAAACATTTTGCCAGAATTATATTATATTATATTATATTATTTATTCTTTTTAACAAATCTGTGTCTGTAAGTCACCTCAGGGTTTAAAGTACAGGCAATAATTTGAAATTTCAGAACCCCTCCAAAGATAAATCATTTAGTGATTGGAAAAGTGTCATCAAAGTTACCTGTTTCCTCATATTCCCTATAGGAATTTATTGGTTTCCTGGGGACTGGGTGTGAGGCTGTGGTGCCCCACAGATGGGGCACTAGATGACATTTAATTTCATGTGTGCTTCTTTGGCAGGAAAAAGAATGGACAGGGTTTCATTTAGGTAGAACATGAGTTAAAAAGGTTCTTCATGTGAAAAAAAAGTTGTAAGTGGGATTTATAGTGTTCCTTGTTAGTTGTGTTGCACCATGAAACATAGTTGTCTGAAACGTATAGATTTGTAAAACTGAAATGTAGCTGAGATTCTTCTCGTTTAAACTGCTAAGGCTCCAAATAGCAATGGAAACGTTCTGAGGATCAGAGAACCTAGCTTGATTAAAGCCCATAAAATGTTCAGACTTGCTGCTGCTTCACCAAGTTACCACAAAATTATTTAATTAAAATTTCTTCCAACATAGGATTCCAAAACACTGTCCAAAGTATTTCAGGAGTTTTGCTCACTCAGGTATAAACAGTGGTTTGGTGTTATTTGAATAGGACTGAAGTTCATTATTCTGACTTCTGATTAATGTGAACCAGTAGATGATGAAAGCATTTTCAGTTATACTCTTAAGCACTCTCATTTTTGGAAGCGTGGTTGCCTCACATCCCATCTCATTCTAGAAATGATCCATCAAAGCTGTAGCTGTACTGAACTGTTTTGTAAACTTAGATTGTATAGGCTGTGATTGGTGTGTATCCTTAAGTTTATTCCTGCTCTAGTTTGGAGGTAGTGCTGATTCCAATTTCTATCTTAATACAAACTTAAAATGATACTATGTTGCACACTTATAGACCTTACCCAAATTCTGAAAAACCAGTTGTAAAATGTTTAAAGGTAATCTGATGTTTTTGAAGTGTTTTTGCAAAGCCCGTCCATTTCCCGTGATGGTAATAACTAGTGATTGTAACCTGGCAGGGTCTGTTTCTGTTGAGTTCTCTGTAATACATTACACAAAAATAGAGTAAATGTAATCGTTTCACCAGTTTGATAAATTGAAACTGCTTTAGTTAAGCATAGTGATAATCTGAGAGGAGGGAGCCTTACTCAAGTAAGAGGCATTGTAGTTCGAGGGCAAGAGGACAAGGTTAGGGGTCAAGACCTCAGTTCTAGTCTAGGCTTGGCTCTACCAATGCTAGTTGACCTCTTTTCTGAAACTTATTGCCTTACTGCCTTGCTTCAAACCCTGGGAAGTTAAATGATTGGCCCAGGGTTACATAGCCAGTGTATGTCAGAGGCCGGGCTTGAGCTCAGGACTTCCAAGCTCTGCTCGAGGTCATCTCTCTATCCACTCTACCACGCTGCCTCTCCATAAGCCGGGATAATAATGTTTTTCTTTGGTCACTTTGTGTGTTTGTTGTGAAGAAAAAATGTACATGACTATGCTTTGAAAATGCTAGACAAACAATCATGGTATAATATCACCAACACCTTATGTTTAACACTTTACCTGCAAATTATTGTTATAACAAATGGAATTTTCTTCAAGGTTGAAATTTCCTTCATTTCATATTTTCATCATGAAATCACAGATAGGTTGCTTGCTGTTCAGTGTTCTAAAGGACGATTTTTTTTTTAATACTGTCTGTTGTAATTACAGTTTTGTTATGTTTTTAGAAGGAGCAAAAAGGCCAATCATTCCTTAGTGCTCATTAATAATCGTAACAGACACATTAGAACACATTGTGTTTCAGGTTTGGGTCAAACCACTGCTTTTCAGGTCACAATGCAGCCATGAATATTTCTTGGGTCATTTATATTAAAAGTTTAAATCATTGAATGAAATTCATTATAAATTAGGTATAAAGACAAAACACTATTCGCAATGCTGTTCAGAGGGCTTCATCAATTTGGAAGTAGTTTACATTTGATCAGCCCCATAACTTCATGTGTACAGCAGTGTTCTTCAAATTAAACTATCCAAAGCTGATGCAATAATTGTGGTTGATAAGAGTTTGTCAGATTGGCATTTTTAAATCTTAAAAATCTGTCCCTTGAATAAGGAGTAGTATCTCTTTTGGGACTCTTTTGAAATTAGTTGTTTGATTTTATTTTCTCACTTTGTTGCTTCATGTGAAAAATGAAGGGATTGGACTAGATTATCTTTAATGTCCCTTCTCACTCTGGAGCCTATGACATTTGTGAAGGTAAAAGACTAGAGGCTTCTGTAGATCCGGATCTCTTTTTTTGTCGAGCATGGAAAGAAAGGGTGATTTGGCAACTTCTCTTTCTGGCACAAGAGGGAAGGAGTGTGGTGTAGTAGAAAGAGCATAGGGTTGGTGGTTGAGAGCTAGATTAGTTCTAGTTTGTGTTACTTTGGCTAAGGCAGTTCTCTTCCAGCCTTAGTTTTTCTGTACTGTGGGGGCTTTGAGCTGAATGATCTCTGATGTTTCTTCTAAGGCTAAAGTTTTATGATGTTGTGTACATCCTTTCCCCCCTTCCTTTGTTCCGTATTTAGATCAAGGAGTACTGAGCCTAAATAACGATGCTGTTTCCTGTCTGTGGCTGGTTAGTTCTTTTGGTTAAAGCACTGTGCTAATGAGGCTGAGATCATAGGTTTGATTCCCCACAACAACTATTTCAGAAAAGTCTACCCTTGTTTAATAAGCTGTCGTGGAAGAGAGAGTGGAGAATTCTGCACAACATTCTCTGTCTCTTTGGTTAAATTACTCGAAGGAATTGCTACATTTGTGACAGGACAGCTTATTATATGGTTACTGCAAATTACAAGGAACAGTACTTTAAATAATAGGCCTCAGTAGACCGTAGGATTTAGGGCTAGAAGGAGTCATTGTCCAGCCCTCTCAGTTGACAGGTGAGGAAGCTGGGTATTCTAAGCTAAGAGTTTTCCATCCTCATTATTTACATATAACAGGGATGATATATGGGCACGTTCAGCTCTGTTCTATAGTATGTAAATACCATAGCAGTTTAGAAGTGTTTTATTCTATTTCCTTGTATAGCAGACTTTATGTAGAACTTCTCACTGGTATGGCTTAAGTTTCAGGTGTTTTAGTAATTTTAAAGATTAACATACTTTTTAAGCAGTTTAATTATCCATGATATTTTGAAAGTCTGAACTATCTAAATTTGTCTTGAGATGCGTTGGCTTTTAAAGTACGTGTTATGGGAAACCACTAGGTAGTGTATTTTTAAGTATTCAGAAAGAGTTACAATGAGGATGTCTGGAAATGCCTGTGTTGCTCCAAAATGATAGAGTTCTAACCGGATTATTTAAAATTTGCAGTCTTCATTGACATCCTTTAATCTTCTTTGATTTTCTTGGGAGGTGGGAAGGAATGAAGGGGTGGTTTAATTTTCCAGGGCTTGCTACTTAAAGGCATCTAATATATTGTTAGAAATGTGTTGTCTTTTATAGTCATGAAGGATTTTCAAGAGTATGTGGAACCTGAGGAAGGCTATCAAGGCTCACCACAGAGGAGAGGACCTCTAGCTTCAGCACAAGATGGTGAAAATGTTACCTTGCCACTTGGAGACAACATGCTCACACATAATCTTGGGATCCCAGTCTTGGTAGTTTGCACAAAGGTGAGCCTGGCTAGATTAAAGTGTTACTTGCTTTTTATGGTTCTCCAGTGAAAACATGCTACCTGACAGTGGGTCCATTTTAATTTGGGACTTTGTATATAAGTAGATGAATTACTGTAAGTGGAAAAAGTACTGAGACAGAGCTAGGACCAATAACTAGAAGTTACAGAAAAGTGATTTTCAGTTTAATATAACAAAGAATTTCTTAACAGAGCTGTGGCAAACTAGAATGGACTGTTTCAGTAGCTGATGAGTTCCTTGTCACAAGAAGTGTGCAAATGACAGTTGGGTAGCCATTTGGGGGATGGGTTGTAGAGGTACTAGGGGTTGGACTAAATGACCTGGGAGTTCTGTGCCTTTGGGTTCTCACTTTGTCACTGACTAGCTCTGTGACATTAGTAATCCAGCTAACTTCTCTGAGCCTCGTTCCTCATTTTTAAAATAAAGCAGGCTTTTCCACTTTCACAGTAGAGTTGTTGTAAAGCACAGATGACGGAATTTGTTTGAAAGTTCTTTGTAAAATGCTACTCTACAAATGCACTATCTACTCTTGCTCAAGTTGATGTTACTAATGGAATGGAGTCCAGGAGTATTTTCACATATCCTTAGTGTAGTTCACCTGGTAGAAGGTAAATTCCTTAAGGGCAGGAACCACATCTTTTTTTTCTCCTCTATTTTTCTCTTTTAGTTCTAAACACAGTACTCACATGTGGCAGGTGTTTAAGAAATAGTTGTTGAATGGATGGATGAAATAATTCATTTTCATTCAGTGAATCATACCAATAACCTTGAACTAAAAACAGATTATTTGCACTTTAAAGTGACTGATCCGTCAAGCTTTTATTAAATGCCTTCTATGTCAGACACCTTGCTAGGGATACAAAGACAAATAAAATGAAACTTCTTCCCTCAAGGAGCTTACATTCTCTCCTGGGACATAACATGTACGCAAATAAGTATATACAAAATATATACAAGGTTTATTTTAAGAGAAAGAACACAAGGAAGTGGAGGGATCAGGAAAGCTTCAGGTAGAAGGTGGTGCTTGAGCTGAGTCTTGAAGGAAACAAGGAATTCTAAGAAGTGGAGTTGAGAGAAGGCGTTCCAGGGGTGGAGCTCATTCAGGGCAGAGGCACAGAGATGAGATGCAGTGCTGTGTGTGGGGAACAGTAAATCTGGGTTCAGCTGAACTGTCACATGCAGAAAGAAAAGAAATGTATTGTTTTGGGGTTTTTTGTTTTTTTTTGCTAGGGAGTGGAGTTAAGTGACTTGCCCAAGGTCACACAGCTGTTAAGTGTCAAGTGTCTGGGGCTAGATTTGAACTTAGGTCCTTCTGACTCCAGGACTGGTGCTCTATCTACTGCACTACCTAGCTGCCCCAAGCAAATAAATGTATGATAAGGCTTTTAAAGTCAGTTGGGGCCTGGTGTTAAAGGGCTTTAAATGTCGAAGGGAGGAGTTTTTATTTGATCTCAAAGTTATTAAGTAGCCACTGGAGTTTGACTAGAGGAGTAACAAGGCTCTGAAAGCTGTGTGAAGGACTGAATGCATAGGAAGGAAATGTGAGGCTGTAGACCAATTAGGAGGCTGTTGAAATAGTCCAGAGGCAATGGTGGCCTGATGTAGGATGTGGCCATGCAAGGAGAGAATTGGTCAATTGCAGGAGAGGTGGAGGTAAAAATGATAAGATTTAGCAACTCAATGGCTCTGTGACATGAGGAAGACTGAGGATTCTAGGAAGTCCAAGGTAATGAACCTTTAAAACTGGAAGCAGACCTAATGGTGTCTTTAACAGAAATGAGAGAAGTTTGGTAGAAGGCAGAGTTTTATGGGAAAGATAATGAGTTAAACTCACTGAGTTTAAGATGTTTATGGGGCTTCCAGTTTGACATTTCCAAGAGGTAGTTAATGATGTGAGAGTGGAGTTGAGGACAGAGTCTGAGGCTGGGTCTAAAGATCTAGGAGTTTTCTGCATAAAAATGATGATTGAGCATATAAGAGTTGATGAGGTCACCAGTGACAGAGCATAGAGAGAGAAGGGGAGGGGTCAGGACTAGGCCTGGGAAGATGACCATGGTTAGGGGCCATGATAATGAGTACAGAACTGTCAGAGGAGACTGAGGAATGGTCAGCTAGGTAGGAAGAAAACCGAAGCAGAAGGGAGTTACAGGAGGTCATTGTTGTGCAGTGTCATATGCTGCTGCAGAGAGGTCACGAATGATGAGGGACCGAGTACAGATCTTTGGATTCAGCAATTAGGGGATCATTAGTAGTTTTGGAGGGAGCTGTGTCGTTAGAGTATTGAGGTTGGGAGCTGGATTAGATTGCAAAGGATTGAGAGGTGATTGAGAGGAGAGGAAGTGGAGGCAGATAGTCATTTAGCAATAGGATCAAAGTGTTAGAGGGTAGGACCAGTTCTTTCTTTGGCTTCAGTTCTTTGCTGTCTTTGCAGGTAGCAAGCTATTGGATTTTAGTTTTGTGTGAGCAAAAGAAAGAGCCATGGAGTCAGGAGGCTTAGATTCAAGACCTAGCCTTTGATACTTACTTGCGTGTGTGATTGCGAACAATTCACTTTGTCTCTCTGATCCTCAGTTTCCTTATCTGTAAAATGGAGTTAATATTTGTACCATGGAGCTTCACAGGATTTTTTGTAAATAAAATATTTTGTAAACCTTAAAGTGCTTAAAAATGTGAGCCATTAGTAATATTAGTGGTAATAATAATACTCTGGAATATCTTAAGTTTTCAGTATGTTTATATTTGCAACTGAGAAAATAGGTCAGTTATAGAGTCAAAATTCCAATTTAACACAGGTGGATGGAACCTCAGTCTGAACCCTGTTCAAATTATGAATCGCATTTTACAATATCCCTGATAAGTGGTCATTGAGTCTTCTATTAAACTCCTATAGAATTTGGAATCTTTGTTTGGAGTATTCCATTCTACAGTTCTACAGTTGGGCAGTTCTGTTATTAGATATCTACATAATTTTAAACCCAACAGGAGTCGATTTAAGTATTGAAAATTATTTTTGTTTCTTTGCATGCAGTGGTTTATGCTGCTTGCTTGATTTACTTATGAGTCCTGGCAGACTTCATTTTATTCAGCAGATATTTTCCTAAAAAATCTTATGTAAATCAGATTCTGTTTTAAATATTTTAAATTCATCAAGGCAACTCCCCTTTAGAGAATCCCCATTTCAAATGAAGAATACTTTTATAATATGAAGTCCCCCGTTAATTTAACTGTTCAGTGTTAACACTCTTCTTCACTTCAACCTGTCTACACTCACTCCCTCCTTGAAGCTTCACTGTGGAATAACGGGGATCCCGAGGGCCTTGTCAAGAGTGCAAATTCTAGTGAACCCTGCCATGAGGGGATGGGTTCTAGTGCAGTCTGTGATGGACATGTGTCGTATAGGACATGTTATTTAAAAAACAACCTTGCTAAGATTTGAGATATTTATCACTGGGGTTGCTACAGAAAGTACAATTGTCCTTGACAGCTTTCAAAGAATATCTAAGCCAAGGGGGTATACTTTCACTACTGACAAATCACAGACCCGTTGAAGTGTTGTAAGTAATTCCATATTCATGTGACAAGCATCAGAAATTTTTTTAGCATCTACTTGATATAAGGCCTTGTGCCTATACTTAAACAGCTTAAAGTATAGCCAGGAAGATACAGCAGAAACACCAGTAACTTAATTGACAGATAGAAACAAGATGGTGTGAAAGGTGCAATGAAGGCAGAGTGTCCCTGCCTGGGAAAGATTCTTAGAACTTCAGTTCTGTCTGGCCTCTATCATCTAAAAGTGGAGTATAGAAAGTTATTCTGCTATTCTGCCTCCTTGAGGGTTCCAGTTCAGCAAGTTTAAGCTTGAGTATATTGGTCATTACTGAAACTCACATGAAATTGAGTAAGTATCCATGAATGTTTCATAGTGGTAGAATATGTCTTGTGTCTGTCTCCCTTACTACTATCTCTCTGACCTTGTAGCCCCCAAAAAACTTGAGTGAAGAAAAAACCTCTGCTAACAATAGTATATTATGAATTAAACAGAAACCAAACATAGAAGATACTCACCTTAAGGAAAAGAACACAAATTTTCAAACAAAATGAAATTATAATAGTCTGTGTCAATATGATACTTTTAGGTTTAAAATGAAAATTGATACATTTATTAGACTGTGAAATCATCATGTGTAGAATACTTAAGTGGGTTGTTGATCTTATGGATAGAAGTTTTCTTTTAGACACAGTTCAGATCAGAACTTTTAGAATCATGAAAGCTACTGCTGAGATCAAACCACATGGCTAAATTCTGACCCTATCTTAGTGAGCCAAGAGTCCATAGGCAGTGTGTTTGCGTAACTGGGCATCTGCTTGCATATTTGATAATAGACATTTCTTTCCAGAGGGGTGGAAGCTAAAACTTTAGAGGAGGAAGCAGCTGTTTCTTTTCCTCAGAATAATGATGTAGATACACAGTTGCTATCATGTGAAAGATCATATAATAGTACTAATAATATTATAATAGCATGTATAGCACTTTAAGGTTTGCAGAGAGCCTCAGAAATATGTCATCCTCACAGGAACCCTGGGAGTAGGAACTTTTATTATCTACATTTTATGGACAGGTGAGGAAACTGAAACAGATGGAGGTTAAGTAACATGTCAAGGTCACACCTAGTGTCTGTGGCTGGAATGAGCTCAGATCTTCTGACTCCAAATCCAGGGGGTCTTTCTTTTTTTTTTGTTTTTGGTGAGGTGATCGGGGTTAAGTGATTTGCCCAGGATCACATAGCTAGTAAATGTCAAGTGTCTGAGGCTGGATTTGAATTTGGGTCCTTCTGACTCCAAGGCCAGAGCTCTATTCACTGCACCACCTAGCTGCCCTCAGGGAGGAAAGGGGCCAGAGCAAAAAGAGTCGTGGTGATTGGCGACTCCCTGCTGAGAGGCCCAGAGGTGGCTCCATTTTATTTGGAAACAGCAACAGA